CATCGGTCATGTATAATTCAAATGGTGAGACGGATGCCCTCCTGGTCATTGGAGTGGTTTGTGCGACGTCAATCTTGATCTCGATAATCATCGTCTTCGCATACAGTGACCGTGGCACAGAGACGCGACCCAAAGCCAATGGGATGGATGAGGATGGATGTCCTCCTCGACCGTCAAAACGGGCTGGTATCCGCCATTACGATCCCATCTTACCGCAGGGCGCATGGGCTCAGGCTGATTCCCATTCCAACTGAGTCGCGACTTGATTCAAACCGATAGCATTGATTGAGGGCCCCCGACAAGATGTATTTGGGGGAGAAGGGATGGTAGAGTTCGTGGGTAAGTGAATAGCTCCAGAACCCCTCTGGCAAGGAAGGACCATGAATCCCGTTAGAACAGGTCAAAATCTGCTGGAAAACACGTGGGGAGCAAAATGCAAAAAAAAAACCGACAAGTTCGAATTGGGTTGGTTTCCACTTATTATACTTCTCCTACCATTAACCCCCTGCGTCGTTGGCTCTTAAGCCCAGCAGGACACCCTGAATTGACATATCCGACACATTACGGTCTTCGGAAGGGGAGAACTTGTCCAAAGTTTTCATCAGATATTGACTCATTCTTCATTGACGCTCAGCAAGACTATCGCTCCAATCGGGACAGGCCTATTCTCCGATGCAATCTGCCAGGCAAATTACCGTCCTTGCCACCGTCACAGAATTCCAGTGAGTGATTCTCTTCCAATCGCCGCAAGCACCCCAGACCTTAGTTGACAGCGTCAGACGTCGCCAGACATGGGATTTTACTCGTGGAGGAAGAAAACATATGACGCCTCCCTGTTTTGGCGAGTGATTTGGCGCCGAACGTCCTCTGTGAACGTGGGATAGGTTGAAATCCAATCTCCGATTTCAACCTATCCTTTCATCATTTTCAACCTGAGCCTTCATGAATTTCAACCTTTGTAGGTTGAAATAACGGCTATCCCAAGGCAGGTTGAATTGCAGTCTAAAACGTACCACTTCAACCTATAATATTTTCGGCCTCGCCAGGGCACGCAAGGGTTGACAGTCAGTCAAAAGTAGGTTGTTTCATGAAACAGTCTCGGCTTCAATTTTTCCACTAGAAACGGTTTGTTTTCCCTTCATTTTTAGGTAGCTTGTTGTACTCGAATGCGCTTAGTGAATGACAATACGGAATAGACACAAAGTTGTATGTTTTCAGGTCTATCACTACGAAACAAGCATATACTAGGCGTTCATAGAACCGAGTCCCCGACTGAAGCCCCCGCAAGTTGCTGTCCTTCTCTGCTCCCCTTCGGTGGTACCTGGCCTGTTCAATGTATCAACGTCTGACGATCGCAAGGAAGGGGCAAAAAACATACCCTTAATCTGTCACCTATTAATTGAAGACTTTGACGTCGAGTTTCGTGTTTGCGTCACCAGAGAGCCGAGAGCAAGACATCAGTGTACATTCCGTCACGCACAGAACAAAGAGAAGATTTTCCAGACAGATCAAGAGGTACAAAATGCCGAGATGAAGAGAACAAGAGCCAGAGCCAGACTTGAGATCTCGAGACTTGAAGCTTGAAGGTAGCAGATCTAGCAACGAGTTTGTTATCGCCTGTACGCGACAGACGTACTGGATGTGTCCCTGGGCCCGGCGGCGGTTGGTGTGTCGCTCGCGGCAAGCCACTTCGGAATTTCCCGAAGAACTGCACAGTTCTTCCCACACTTCCTTAAAAGGCAATGCAAGCGACGGAATTGTTTAAGCACAAGTCCGCTTGAGCTTCGTTATATAAAGCTTGTGAAATTTGTAGAACCCTGTAAGTAATTATTAGTGCATTAGTTATTAGAAGCCGGTGGTGCTGTTGAGTCAAGGCGCCGACTCCAGGGGTGTTGATAATCCCTCAAATTTAGGTTGAATTGGTTAGCTTGAATTGTAGGCTAATCCGAACGAAACCAACTGAATCAACCAATTATAGGTTGGTTGTGAATTTCATTCAAAAGTTGGTTGAATTTCAACCTCATCGACTTTCATAGTGGTCTAGAATTCAGTCCATCAGTAGCGTTCTTCCAAACGTTAGGTATCATAATCTTCCACCTTTGGAATGTTCTCTGGTTCGTCCCCAGCTGAATTGGATGATTTCGTGAGATTTTTTTCGAGATATATAAACCCTCCCTTTGATTGAGCTGATTTCTCACTCTCAGCCCTGACTCGAGCTGTGCTCAAAAAGCAAGTTTGAACAAGCATGTCTCGCGATCGCTACGTCGTCAAAGGACCACAGGGTGTCGCCAATCGCCTCGAAATCAACGACTTTATCAAGAATGAAGCTCATTTCTCTCTCTATGTCCAAGCCCTAAGTGAGCTACTTCCATTCTTTTACGCATACTCTAGCTCTGGCTAACATACGATCACTAGTCAAACTTCAGCAGAAGGACCAAAAGGAAGTCGACTCGTTCTTTCAGATCGGTGGCATTCATGGACTTCCTGCAGCTCAGTGGGACCCAGACAGTCCTCGTGGCCCCGGAGACGATCAACAGTGGCTCGGCTACTGTACGCATGGAGACGTCCTCTTCCCGACCTGGCATCGACCTTACATGATTCTTATGGAAGTAAGCTGTCGAGCTATATGACATACCTGTTTTCGTTTGTTGACTTTCTCTGCAGCAAGCTATTCAAGATGAGGCTACGAAGATCGCCGAGACATACACATACGAAAAGGAATGCTTCATAGATGCGGCTCGTAACCTGCGCCAGCCTTACTGGGACTGGGCTAAAAAATCGGTACCGCCACCAGAGGTCATCTCTATGGACAGCCTCACTATCCGTGTATTCGATGGGGAGAAGGGTTCTGTTGCCAATCCATTTCGAAGGTATACGTTCAACCCACTCTTGTCGTCCTTCAAGTTCCCGAAGCCGTTCGACATGTGGCAAACCACTCTGAGGCACCCGAAGGATCCGAACGCTACGGAGGATATCAATCAGTTGATATGGTAGGCCTTCGATTTTTGTTACAGACACCAATTTTGATGCCGAAACTCGTCTCTTCTCAGTTGGATGCAGAGCGCACAGACCGACATCCGAGACAAGACTTACATCATGCTTACTCAAGTTCATACCTGGCCTGAGTTTAGCCACCACACCGCGAGCAAGGATAGCTCGAAGGACACCAAACACGCCCTGGACGATGGCTACATGAAGATCAAAGGCAACAGTCTGGAAGCAATCCATGACGCTATTCATGTTAATATTGGTGGTGGTGGACATATGGGGGATCCCACTGTGGCTGGTGGGAACATGCTTACTTTTGCCCTTCCAAGCAGTTAACTAACGTGACCTCCGGTTGGTGCAAGGCTTCGACCCGATCTTCTACATGCACCACGCACAAGTGGACAGATTGCTTGCCATATGGGCTACCCTGAATCCCAACGTCTGGGTCACCCCGAGTACTTCGAAAGAAGGTACTTGGACGTTAGAGCAGGGCAGCCCTATAGATACGAACACAGGTGAGGTCTTCTCCCTCGGCACCACATAGTACTTTTGAAACCCAGTACTGGTGCTCACCTGCCTGAATACTAGATCTTACGCCATTCTGGAACGCCGAACCCACTTACTGGACATCAGCGAAGATTATGGACACGGCCTCCCTTGGGTACACATATCCAGACTTTAACGTGCTCCCAGAAGAACCAACCGGGCCGTTACCGAATGTTATCGCTGAGAAAATCAATCGTCTCTACGCGGGAGCCACTTTCGAGCGATTGTCTCCGAAGACAGCAATTTCAGGATCTCAAGATCGTGCGGCTCAGTCGAAGGTCTGGGAATGGACCGCACGCATTCGGGTCAAGAAATACGAGGTCGGCGTTAGTTTCGGCATTCCCCTCTTCGTAGGCAGCGTTCCCGAGAACCTTGAAGAGTGGTTGACCTCCGAGAACTTTGTCGGGGCGCAATATACTTTTGTCAACAGGCGAGCTCCAGTGTTATTCGCAGTGATTCCTCAGATGACGTTTTTGCTCGAACTCAGCACACCAGAGAGTTGTGGTAACTGCCGCACGCAACAGAACGTCACTATCGAAGGGTTCGTCCATCTCAACGATGTCCTTATCAGACGCTCGGGACTAGAGTCGTTGGAATCGAGCGACGTCGTGCCGTATCTTAAGGAAAACCTTCACTGGCGGGCTATCAAGGTCAGCATTCTGTTTCAGTTCAATTCGGTGTGAACTAACGTGTCCCGTCTGTCTTGTATAGGCTTCGGGAGAGGCCATCGAGCTATCTCGGCTCCCATCCCTCGAGGTCGAGGTGACTGCTACACGTCTTACACTCCCACCTGGGTCGATCTTCCCGGTTGCCGAGGAGACGATAATCTATCACGAAATCACTGAAGGAAAACAAGGGGGTGCGAGAAGCGGCGAAGCGTGAAATGTGCAGCTCTGGATTGGTTAAGTGTCAAAAGTCCTATACATCTATGCAAACCCTTACTCTTGAATTGTACTACTACCTCCCTTGAATATGATCATATGTGTACCAGAAGTCGGAATGTCCGTCTGTGCTATAACAATCAAGCACCCAGTTTACGCTGCGATATATGGGCTCAACAGGACTACCGGCTTTGATACGAGTGACTCATTCGAACGAGGATAACCATCGACGCGTGACGGATTATGAATTTATCCTGCCCAAACGAAGATAGGTGACAGTCCGAAGAGCCCAGAACGAATCATCGGGCCTCGAAGTCTACCCGTTATGGCGTTGTGGTGCCATGTGGGTGTAGAATCGCCACAGTTCCAAATACGGCAAGAGGATACCCATTCGCCCACACTCGCATTTAGATTGAAGTGGCTCCATTCTCACGGCTGAACACGCCACAAGGAGAAGAGATAATGAAAATGTTATGGCCGCTTTTCAAAACAGATTTCATCAGAAAATGTTGGTAGAAGAATCCGAAGCGCTTACTGGTTATAATATGAGTATGAGTAGCGAGACTAAAACCCACATAAACACAGGCATTAATGGGGTAGTGGTAACCTGGGTCGTTGCCATAGTATGCATCAGTGTCACTTACATGCTCGACCCGCCGGGGGTTCGATTCCCTCTTAATGCAGTTTGCAATTCCTCTAATTTTTTCTTCATCTCATTCATTTTCGCCTCATTTAGAACGTAACACGTCTGGGTATGTAGATAAGTAGCTGTAGCTAACATTGTATGAGGTATATCCATTGTCAAGTGCGTACGTATATAGACAAAAAACCGAAGAAGATAAGATGCATATAAGTATAGACCCGAAAATAAGCATCGCAACACGAGTATGGATTGATTAACCCTCCACCCCTTTCCTCCCTACGAAACAACCCCCCAAACACCCAACCCACCGAAAAACATCCCAAGCGAAGTCATAAACCCAACGTATACAACTGTATGTACACCTATCCTCGGTAACGCGATTTCCGAGTGTAGAACGTACAGTGTTAGTTGAAAGAGGATCAGTAGGAAGACGGGGAGCGGTCGGATGGGTGGGTTGAGCGAGGAAGGGGAGGTGGTGTCGGAAGCCCCCGCCAAGACGAGGGTAAGCCCCATCGATAAAAGTAACGAGTTTACGCGTTGGAGGCATGTTATGAATATCGGAATTTTCTGAGGCACGTAACCTGAGCTTAGCAAGAAAGAAAGAAAAGGGCACGAGTAGACTTACGACGAAAGCGACCCCGTATACTCTCTCCAATTCGTCTCGTTCTCGTAATGCCATGAGCTGGTCGAGGTCCCTCTCTACCTCGATTTCGACGAGGTGTGACGACTGTCCTAGGTTCAGCAAGTCCATAGAATCTCTCGAGTGCGAGAGATAGTGGTGGTGTTGGGATCCTCCGAATCCAGAGAGCAAAGGCTGTCGTTCTGGATCGCTATCACTAGCAGTGGGGACACGCGGCAGTCGGCCTCGATTCGTGTTTTCATCTTCTGTAGGCGTAGCGTCGTCGTCGGCATTGGTGTCGCTACTGCTGCTACCAGGATTCGCGTCGCTGGTGGTAGCACCGTATCCCTTGACCGTTCCGGTGTCCTCCCTTTCTCCATCTCCTGGCCTCGACCCGCCACCGATGACATCTCTCAACGCCTTCACTCTCCTCATATCAACCAACACATCCTTGTACGCTTCGATAGCTCGATACCCCTGCCATACGCCCGCAACAGCTTCGAACAGTGCCCACCCAAGACCGGCCCACCACGCACGAACGAAGGTGAAGCTTCGGTACGCAGGTGTGGGTGCGGTAGATGAAGGTATACCCAGTAATTGAATCGTAACCACTCGCATGATAATCGATAATGTTGCGTATACCAATGAGGATAAAACGACTGCCGCTGTAGTTGTGGCGGTGGTGATGGTGAGTTGAGGACGATAGTGCGGCGGTCGTGTCAGGTAAAGGATTCCTCTCTTCGTAGCCGTGCAGAACCACGTTGAGATGGTGAATATGAAAGGGTTGAGGGTGTATGTTATCGTGTATACGCCGCCTGAGATGAGAGTTTCTGGGATTGGGAAGGGGAGATTCGGGGTATAGGGTGGCTCGGGGTGGTCATGGTTCAATGGAAGGAATTGCGGAACGAGTGCGAAGAGTATGAAGAGGATGAGAAATGTGAGAGGTGCAAGAGCATAGAGTGCCAATAAACGGGGGTAAGAACCTGTATCAGGAGAGTTAGTTGAATATTTGTTGCACACAAGAAAAACGTACCAGCGTAAAAGCCCTCTTCCTCCAGGTCCATCTCGAGCTCGGTATCAGAGCCAGGATCAGAATCAGAACTCATACTCCTCTCGTCGCCATTGTCATTGTTGTCGTTCTCCTCATCCACCCTGCTCAATGGTCGTTCTGGGGGTCCTACAGACGTATTCGAAGCGAATCGCTGTAATCCGTGTCCGTAACCATGTATGTTGGACGAAACGACAGGCGAATTTGACATATTTTCCACATCCGAGACCATCGTTGCAGGGTTTACATTGATATTCAAGTTTTCCGGACTGTCCACAGGTCGCTGATGTTGCTGTTGGGTGCGAGCCCATCGCGCAGCTGTGACAGCAGCCGTGTCGATGCCTAGTCGAGTCATGTTCTCTTTTTTCTGTTCTTGTTTCTGGGTGTAGCTGGTAGACAATAAGGAACGTTCGAGTTTGCTAGTACTGTGTGGAAGCGAAGGAGGAAGCAGGCATCGTAGACGGACCGTGGTGGTCTCTGCCAAAGTAGCGTCTGACGCGATCACGGTCGGCTTAGCGCTAAAATTATGCCATCAGACTGTCATCGCCTGCGCCCGCTAAGACGGATGCAGTTGACTTTATTGATCCACCTTCTCATTCAGACTTGCGGAAGTTCTACGTATTCCGGTCAAGCACAAACGTTCCTTCCATGGCCAGATAATCAGGGTACTGATGGAGTTGTATCTACTGTAATAACGGGGCCGATTCGGATTCTAGAACTGAGTTCAAACTTGATTTTATGTAAAATGAAACCCTCCGAAGGAATGTCAAAGCTGTTCACTCCCGCTTCTCCGCCGATTTCCGACGTTTCACCGTGCGTAGAGACTCTGAAATTTCCCAGCGGAAACTGTTCTCGTGGTTTCGTCGCTCGTGTGATTCAGTTTTAAGCACTATGATTGGAGGCCACTCGATGCGGTTTTCGGCAAGCATGAGAGTCCCTATATATTGGAAAGGAGTTCTGAGTGTGGCAGAGTTCGGCGAGCACTGGGTCTGTCGCTGAGAATCTCACATGTTGCTGCCGGAGGCCTGGATAAAATCAGTACTAGGGGGTATGAGCAACTCTCAACTGAAGGCCTCTACCATCCACATTCGTATGATAATCCTCTAGGGAATCTGACGAAAACGTCTTCTAAATGGCTCGCATCGACACATCTTACGAGGGAGCCACCCCGCTCAGCGAAGACGAGGCGAACCACCCCTCTGTGCGAGGTTCAGGGGAAGGTGAGAAGACACAGGGCTAGGAAGTTGGCCGTATATATATATATATATACAGGGAAAGGAGAATCTACCGGTGGTCCCCCCGTTCGGGGGTGAACAGTTGTCAACGGTCACCGTTTGACTGCTGGTGCATAGGTTGGGACCTCCGAAAGTTAAAACTCCAATTTCTCCATGACCTAGCGTACATCTGGCATGAACAAAAAGAAGGGGGTGGGTCAAGCGCCAGATGGCAACTACTCACTAACTCGAGAGGATCCAAGCCTCCGCCCAGGCTGGGCTGTAAGGTGTCCTTTCGACCGTCTCCTTTTTTGAGTCTCTTTCAGCTCGCCCTAGGATGATATTGAGATGAGGAGGATGAACTAGCCTTACGAATGTTCCATGTTCACGAGCCCATGAAAAAAATTATCGAATTAGTGGTGAGGTGGAATAATTCCATTGAGAGTAAGCACCGAGGCTTCGACTGCTTTCAATCCGGCGAGTTCATAGCAGATTCCAAGGGAAAAAACTTGAGACGTCGATCGACGAGCGGGGCTTATCTTGTTATAAAGATGCGATTAATATTGGAAGCGAGGAATCCCGCAATGAGAAGTTTGAGGCTATGAGAGGTCGAGTGAGCTCCAGTCTTTGAGACGATGGACGAAGAGAAAAGAGTCATCACAACTGAGATCGAAAGGTAGCAAGCCTGATCGGCAAAGTCCGAACAAGCACGTGCAACCTTGGACCTTACTCCGAGCCCGACGCAACCCCTTGTCAGCTCAAACCACCATCATCGATGTCGACAGCCTGCATGCGCTCGGATTTTTACTTGCCAGTATTGAAGTGAAAAGTCAATATTCTAGGTATGGCAACTTTGGCCTAGCTAACCATTGCGCCCACCTTACCCTACACAATGTATGATATCATTATCCCTTTGCCCTACATTACTCATATACTCCTCTGTACTCCACAACCCTTTGCCTTACTGATCATACTTACTCCTACATACATCATGCACAGTTGGACCTACATCATGCACAGTACATTCTACTCCATTCTACCATATTCTAGCTATCTTGTACTCTTGTATATAAGCTAAGCTAGGAATACCATACTACCTCAGTGGTTTGTTACCACCGCCTGAGGCTTTCTGCCTTCTCTCTTTCTCTTGCTCCCTGCAGTATTGCAACTTGAAATGGGGCTCCTGAAGATGTAAATTAGGACTGGGGTTTGCTTGTCATCCGACGTGCCACAGAAAAGACGGGATAGAAGCAGTCAGATTTGTCCTGGGTTAGTCCCGTCACCCCCATCGCGTCAGGTAGACAATTTCAAGAAGGATAAAGTCTCGTACGGTCAATGATGAACAGTTTCCGTATTCATGGCAAGCCATGGGAAATTCAGTTATTGTTACAAACATTAAAGTCTGCCAGCAAAGTGGTGGCACCACTTCAATCAACCTGAACCACCACTTCTCGAGATTCAAACAACGCGTCAACCCTCTCAAGCATGGACGAAACCTCTATTCTATCTCAAATTGAAGAGAATTGGGAAAGCTACAAGGGAGCTTCAGTGACTGACAACAATCCTGGTGTGGCAGATCACCCGCTCTTGGCTGCGAAAGATATCAAGGTCTGTTCAATGACTTGTGGTGACGTTGGTAATAAACCTGATTTCACTTGAATATCTTTAGCAAAGTTTAAACGACGCGTTAAGTCACTCAGACTCCTGAGATTTGGAACATGTCTTCCACTCATGGAAGGCTGCTGTGGATTGTGAAGCAGCGGGGGCTCGAAACGCGGACACATGTACCCTGCATCTTCTTGTTGTCGTTCTCAAAGGAGAATATCCCAGGATTTCACCATATGACCCTTTCCTTGAAGAATTCTCAAAAGCTTTGTCGTTACAAGAATCCAACCCCACTGTCCTGGTGAAACTGGCTCCTTTTGCTAAAGCCTACGGCTTTGACATATATCTTGGACAGTCTAGGTACACAAAGCAGGGCAATTTAGACATCGGAGGTGCAGACCTTGGGGGGAAAGTCGAGTACACCGGAGACCCAAGAGAAGCCAAGTTCCTGAACCCGTCGAACGAGGATTCCTTTGAACAGCAGATTGGGATTGATTGTATGTTTTCACTCGATGGGATTCCGATGGATATGAAGATGAGGGCTATGGCTCGGG